CAAGTATACAAGACTAACAAAATAACCTCTCTCTCTTGAAATTAGGATTTTATCTTCCTATTTTTCCTTATGACAAGATTGAGAAACTAGTATCCTATTTATAAGAAAAATAGCACACTAACCTAATGGTTTTTTTTAACAATTACCCATTACAAGCTAACTTAGGGTATAAGCTAACTTAAACAATAGGACTTACAAGTAAGGCCCAATTCAACATGCTAACAACCCTAGCAATATTGACTAATGCATGTTAAAACAAACTTCGACTACAACACGCATTACTCGCGAACAGACTTCGACCATACTAGAGTTCGATCCAACATGTCACAAATCTCCACCTTGGGTCTAACTCTATAACATCAAGAAACTAGCTTTCTTCATGCAGCTTTATTAACTACATAAAGTGGAAAAAACTTGCAACTGAGCAACGTCTTGGTGATCATATTAGCGACATTATAATTTGTCAAAACCTTCAGCACTTGGACTTCTCCACGCTCGATTACCCCTCTGATGAAATGCAGCCTCACATCAATGTGCTTGGTTTGCTCATGATAGGCTGAATTATTCGACGGGTGTATTTCACTTTGACTATCACATTTAACAGTGATACCTCGACCTTGAAGTTTTAGCTCCTTTGCAAAACCTTTAAGCCACAATGCTTCCTTCACAACTTCAGTTAGGGCAATATACTCCACTTCAGTGGTTGATAAGGCAACGACCTTCTGAAGTGTTGTTTTCCAACTGATTGTTGTCCTAAACATGGTGAACACATATCCATAGATAGATTTTCTGGAATCCATACAACCTGCATAATCAGGGTCGACATATCCTTCGATTGCTGCTTTACTATCTTCACCCAAGCCTCCACCATAAATTAGGACTCTATTCAGAGACTCATTTATGTATCTTAAAATCCACTTCAATGTTTGTCAGTGAGCCTTTCCAGGATTCGCCATGTACTTGCTTACAAGACTTACTGCATATGTTATGTCGGGTCTAGTACAGATCATAGCATACATCAAAGAACCTACTATGTTAGCATATGAAATGTTATTCATATAAGTTCTTTCAACATCAGTATTGAGACACTAATTCATACTCAGCTTGAATTGAGGGTTTGTCGGAGTCACAACAGGCTTTGAATTCAACATACCAACTTTTCAAGAACCTTCTATAGGTATGCCTCTTGAGATAAGCATAATTTCGACTGCTTTCTATCTCTCCGGATGTCAATCCCAAGAATCATGGACGCAGCTTCCAGATCCTTCATGTCGAACTCTTTATTGAGTTCAGCCTTCACCCTCATTACCTCTTCGACATTGTTGCTTGCTATTAGAATATCATCCATATAGAGTAACAAAATAACAAATGAATTACTCGGTCGAAATCTGAAGTAAACATAGTGGTCGAACTGACTTCTAATGAAACTTATGTGTGTCATGAACTTGTCGAATCTCCTATTCCACTTGTCTTGCCAAATATGAGCATAGTCCACACAGCCAAATACTCTCAGTCTGTCGAGACTAGGTGGATGTCCCGACCAAACTTCTTCAGGTGTCTTCATTCCCAAGGCAGTCGAGGGACATCTATTTATCAAGTAAGCTGCTGTCGAAACAGCTTCTGCCTAAAACACCTTCTTCAATCCAGCACTAACCAACATGCATCTAACCCTTTCAAGGATTGTTCGATTGAATCTCTCAGCTAAGACATTTGTTGAGGAGTACCTACTACAGTCTTATGCCTTGCAATCCCATACTCAACACAATAATTGTTGAATGCTTCGTTGCAAAATTCAAGGCCATTGTTGATTCTCAACCTCTTAACCTTTCTGCCAATTTGATTTTCGACCAGAATCTTCTAACTTTTGAAATTCTCAAAAGTTTCATCATTCGTCTTCTGAATAAATACCCATAGCTTTCTGGAATAGTCATCAACGATGGATAGAAAATACCTTGCACCTGAGTGTGAAGGATTCCTTGCAGACCCCCAAAGATCAGCATGAATGTAATCCAATGATCCATGTGTTCTTTGCTTGCCTTTGTTAAACTTCGCCCTACAGGATTTACCAAATACATAAGATTCACAAAATTCCAACTTCTCGACTTTGTCACCTCCTAGCAGGTTCTGCTTCCCCAATTCAACCAAGCCTCTTTCGCTGACATGTCCCAATCTCATGTGTCATAATTCTGTCTTCAACATAGGTTTCGTGGATGCAACATTTGTCGAACCACTTACAACCTCAGCCTCAAGGGTATACAAGCCTTGTTTCTTCATGTCTCTCAAGACTTCCTTCGACCCCTTCATGACTCTTAGGATACTTTTCTCTCCTTGAAAAACGTATCCCTTTCTGTCGAATTCACCAAGAGAAATCAAATTTCTCTTCAAGTCAGGTATGTACCTGACTTCAGTCAATAACCTTATTGACTCATCATGGAGCTTGAATCTCACAGATCCAATACCTGCAATTTTGCAAGATTTGTTGTTTCTCAGCAGTACAGGTCCACCATCTTGATCACATAGCTCCTTGAACAATTCTTTGTTTGGATTCATATGCCAAGTGCAACCTGAATCCATGATCCACTCTTTTCTCGAGTCGCCACTTGAAACTACAAGAACATCAGATGAATCGAAGTCATCTTGAACAATGGCTGCATTGCCATTACCTCCATGATCTTTCAGGCGTTCAAGGCGCACCTTTCTTATGTGACCCTCCTTCTTACAGTGATAACATCTAATACTATATGTTTCGCCACTATAAGACTTTTGTTGACTTTTACCTTTCTTCTTGTCGAACTTACCATCCTTTCGCAAGAATTTTCCCTTGACGGTCAAACCTTCGCCCACCGTCGAAGGTTTATGCTCCTTTCGTTTGTTCAAGTCCTTAGAATATAAGGTTGATTGAACTTCTTCAAAGGTCAGCGACTCCCTTCCATACAAGAGAGTTTCTTTGAAGTGAGCATGTGTTCTGGACAAAGCACACAGCAGCAACAGTGCTTGATCTTCATCATCGATCTTCACATCAATATTTTCAAGATCAAGAATCAGCTTGTTGAACATATCCAACTACTCAGTCAACACTTTGTCTTCACTCATCTTGAATGAATATAAATCTTACTTTAGGTAGAGTCGATTCACCTGAGATTTGGTCATGTACAAATTTTCAAGTTTCACCCACAATCTTTATGTTGTAGTCTCCTTTGATACCTGTCGAAGAACCTTATCACCAAGGCTCAACAATATTGCGCTGTGGGTTTTCTCGATCATGCCCGTCTTTCCTTTTTCCGTTAACGCAACGTCCATGGCTGCCTCACCCTTCAACGCTTCCAAACAATCCTGCTGAACCAATAGGGCTTTCATCTTCAAGCGCCACAGATCGAAGTCATTCACTCCGGTGAACTTTTCAATCTCATACTTTGTTGAAGGCATCTTCTCCACGCTCACTGCACCAATTTGTTGTGAATCGGATACCTTAAAACTAAGTATAAACAATTTCTTAATGATGAAGAAACACTCAAGGGTTATGGTTAATAAAGAAGAAAACAACAAGGATTGGTTATTAAACTGTTATTCTTTTCTTTTTCTTAGAACAAGATTACAAGTATACAAGAATAACAAAATAACCTCTCTCTCTTGAAATTAGGATTTTATCTTCCTATTTTTCCTTATGACAAGATTGAGAAACTAGTATCTTATTTATAAGAAAAATAGCACACTAACCTAATGGATTTTTTTAACAATTACTCATTACAAGCTAACTTATGGTACAAGCTAACTTAAACAATTGGGTTTACAAGCAAGACCCAATTCAACATGCTAACAACCCTAGCAATATTGACTAATGCATGTTATAACAAACTTCGACTACAACACGCATTACTCGCGAACAAACTTTGACCATACTAGAGTTCGATCCAACATCTCACAGTTTTTTTTTTGCCATTTTTGTTGGCCGGATCCCTTGTGCCTTCTCTTATACCTGGTTTTTTTAATTAATATCGCTAATCTTATGATATAATTCTAGTCTCCTTTTGTTTTTGTTTTTTTTTGCCATTTTTGTTGGCTGGATCCCTTGTGCCTTGCTTTTGTACCTGGTTTTTTAATTAATACCAATTTTCTCTTGATTCAAAAAAAAAATTATAATAGTTAAAAGTGAGTTGAAAGTAAAATAATTCATGTTAGAATAAATTTATGTAGAAGTTTGTTGAACATTTAATTTCAATGTAAAAATTTCATTTAAATTCAAAAACTACAAATTCTACCATGAAGTAGAATGAACTTTGAAGGAAGAAATTAATTCCACTTTAGAAAAATCAAACACTTAAAAATCATTCCAAAATCAATTCTACATTTCTAGAATTACATTTGGCTCTTCCAAAAGCTAAACCAAACAACAGTGATTTTGGTGAATTGATTATGTAAAATTGTTTTTACTTAAAAGTGAGTTGAAGATAAAATAATTTAAGTTTGAATAAATTTCAGTTGAACAATAAATTTCAATGTAAAAATCAAATTTAAACTCAAAAATTAATAATTCTATCTTCAACCAAAATCAATTATACTCTAAAACTCTAAAAAACCAAACATGTCAAAACCAATTCTACACATCCATAATCAAGTTTGGCTACCCCAAACGGGAAACCAAAAATACCTAAGAAGTATAATTGAACTTCAATTAAAGTAAATCATACTCTTTCAGCAAAAATTAAAACAAAGAAAGCCTTGGTTCATAAAAAGAATATATCACTCCTCTAAATATGTTGAAACTTGTTGCACATCAGTAAGGAATGAATCACTGAAGTTCAGAAAACCAAAAGAAGAGGATTTAGAAATAACACCAATCTAAAGCATAATGCTAACGGGTAAGTATTTTAAATAGTTGTGTTCAACATTGATGTATCAGAAGTCTACACGTATGCACAGCTATCATAGTTTGTTCGAAACAAATTTCAAATCAAATATGGAACAACAATACGGTAGGTTTCAAATACCTGAAAATCTAATCATGACATGCAATTTTTGTCTCCGGCGTCTGCGAGCTTGAGTTTCTCTTGGTACAACTTTATTAGATAAGAAGACTCCTTCTCAAAACGATTTATAAACCTATCAAGAAACTCCTTTTCAGGCGGCACAAATGGAGAAGTTAAGCTTGCGTGCTTATTTCTCAAACCATTATTCCGAAGAAATTGCATAACCCAGGCCCTTGGAATGATCCTTTTCTCCAAACTAAGGCGAAAAATGGCCGGTTGTTCGGCAAGGGCCATAGCATCCCAGCCCAATTGATTTACCCAGAAACTCATCACTAAATTAATTTTCTCAATGGATATTAACATACAATAAGGTTGCTTTTTAAATGCTTCAATGATATCTTCATCAGACCAACCCCACTTCTTAAAGGCATCAACTTTCTCATTCCATCTAGTTTTGGTTACTGATGTTTTGGCAATCAATGCTACAGTAAAAGAATATTTTGAAGGATTAAACCCCAAATCCTTTAATTCCTCCAATAAACTCAGCATGTGTCGCGCCTGCAATGTTCGGTTCCTGATTCGAATCAATCTTGCAATATTTGAGTCAGACACTCCATTCTCAATCAGCACTGTAATGTTACGCGGCACAAGACAGTGACAGAGTAAATATGGATTCTGAATTACATAAGCCATAACTTCCTTGTCTGATTGCAAGAATCTATAAATCAATTCATAGGTTGGGACTATATGATTCTCCAAGCTAGGAGACAAGACTCTAGAATTCTTGCTGACAAGGTAAACAATGTCAGAGTTAGAAGCACCTTTGGAGAGAAAAAATTCAAACTTTGGCAACACCCTTTTGGAGAGGTTGCAGGTAAGTAACCATGGTGACTTGTCAATGATGTCGCGTAACTGGGAATTAGAGAAACCGTAGCTTGTAAAAAAGTTGATAACAGAGTCAGATTTTTGGGTGGTTTTGCAATAAAGACGGTGGGTGGAGCAAAGTTTGGAAGCGGATTGTTGGGAGAAATCAAAATTGTTGATGAGGTAGGAGACTTGGAATGGTGATGGTTGTGGGGAAGTTAAGCAGTTGAGATTGAATAGGGTTGGGGCTGTGTTGGGCCATGTATTTAACTTCAACATGGTGATTGAAAGAAAAGGGATATGAAATTGTTTATGTTACCGGCGGTGGAGTATGAAAATGGCGACTTCGTGGGACAGATTTGGTGGCTTTACGGCGACGGTGCGACTTAAGCGAGATGGTAAACACGTGGGTGGAATCAGCCCTTTCCTTTCTTATCTTCACACAACAGAATGCAAATATGATATAAACTTACAATAAACATATATTTATAGAATATATATTTAAGTATATACAAATTTAGATGATATTAAATAAATAACAAACATAGTATTAATAATTTAGTAAAATACCAAGGTGTTACATGAAGGATTTATAGTCTCTTCAACCAAGTTATACTAGGGATTTAAAATTCTCGGACTATTTAAACTTTCTCCACGAGAGATTTAGAGTTTTCTCAGGTGGGATCAAGAAATATAAATCTCGTCCAAGAGATGTGATTGGAGTCTTGCTTAAGAGAGTTGGTGTTAAGTCTTGTCTAAGGGCTCGATGGAAGTCTCGTCCTAAGAGAGTTGGGAGCAAGAAATATATAATTTCGTTTAAGGGACTGAGAATCCCCTCGAACATTATTAACTCCCCGCTTGATGGACTTGAAGTTTTCTCAGGTGGGATTAAATGTAACGTCTCTCCTAAGGGATCTGACTATTAAGTCTCACTTGAAGGAGTTGTTACAAGCCCACGTCAAGAAAAGTCATACGATGTAGATTTGTACAAAGGAGTATTAAGAATATGAGTTATCGTACAAACCACTTCTCCCTTTACCAAGCCCTCGTGCTTGAGGAACTATGTAGTGTTATATTTTTACTAGACCCTAAGGAGGGATAGCTTACGAGGAAGGTCATTAAAGGGGCGAGAAACGAGGCGCTCCAGAGGCCTTCAACGAAGCCAACGTTCACCTAGAATGGGTCAAAAGGTCGCCCAAATGCGCCAATACAGCTCACCTGATTGGGTTCCCATTGTCCTAATCATCCAGTAGACGTGGGTGATGACATGGGCCCATAATGACTAACTAAAAAGAGTTAATCATGAGGGGGAACCACTTCCTCCATGATTCTAGGAAGATTAAGTCTTCCCTTGACCACTTCCTTGACCATGAATACGGGGCATAACTGTCCACAAACTTTACGACCCAGGCCCAAGAAAGCTTATATAAATACCTCTCTCCAATGGGAGAAAGGGACATATTATGAATAATAAATGTTTACCATTACTCAGAGAGAACTTCGCTCCTAGTAATCTTAATACCGTCAATACAACTACCCGCCTCCAACCTAGCAGCGACGACCATCAACAGGATCTTTCACCTCACGTGAACGAATATCTTAAACAGCCTAAAAAACCACCATACAAGGCTACTCGCGACCGTGATCTAGTCCTCATCACACAAAAGCGTAATATACCTACTAGGGTCTCTAAGCTTCCCTGCCCTTGTAGGGACACACACACACACACCTGTACTTTTTGGACAATATACAATGTTATTGAAAAACACCATTTTCTTGATTTATGGTGGTTGAAACTGCAACAATAGAACTTTTTTAGTCTCTACAATTCCCCTATTTTCTGTAGTGGTGCTAGTAAAAAGGGCCTATAGGAAATGGAGAATGTGTGTCAATTATACCGACTTTAATCGTGTGTGCCCAAAGGATTCATATATGTTGCCAAATATAGATAAAATGGTAGACAATTCAGCTGAGTATAAACTATTGTCATTCATGGATGCTTATTCCAGATACGATTAAATACCCATGTATGAACTTGATAGAGAGAAGATAACATTCATGATCGAGCAATAAAATTACCAATATAACTTGATGCCCTTGGGATTAAAGAACGCGGACGCGACCTATCAGAGAATGATGAACAAGGTCTTTTAGGAGGAGATATGCAAAACGTTAGAAGTGTATATGAATGACATAATCGTGAAGCCTTGACAAGAAGAGTCACACGACCAACATCTGAGTTGGGTTTTCAAAAGGGTTTGACATTATAACATGAGGCTCAATCCAGAGAAGTGTATAGAAGTCAGAGATTGTAAATTTATGGGGTTTTACCTTAAATAGAAAGGGATAGAGGCCAACCCTAACAAATGTGAAGCAATCATGAAGATGAATGCGCCAACCTCAAAGAAGGAGGTTATGATGTTGAATGACATGCTTACTGCTTTGAACATGTTCATCTCAAAATTCGCCCAACGTGCATGATGACCTTTCGGCAAGTGTACTGATAGTGTCAAAGTAATAATTAAAAAGGTTGTCTCCATGAGGATTTTAATTTAACAAATTAATTATGTGAGAATTAAAATAATAACAACGATGGGAGTTTTTTATTTTATCTGGTTCCAAAGCAAGAACGAGAAACCTAAGAGAATAAAATTCAATATGAGTAAAGCGATTAGGTCTTTTATATCGAATCCCCTTATTATAGTGATTAATGAACTATGTACTTATTGAATTATAATTAAATTAGTATCTTATTGCAAACTAACAAGACTACTACACCTAATTTCTTAGTGTACAACTCACTAATTTCTCATAATAATTTCCTAAATTTGTAGGCCAATTCAGAGTTAAATTAGGCGTTCTACATGCATTAATTCAAAAGCAATGATTTCATAATTATTTATTCCTAGTATGATGATACCATTTCGTGTATCTTATTTTAGATATGGAATTGGTTTCTAATAGTGTTCGAGCTAGCACTGTCTTAGCATTCTCTAGAGCATGTCTTATGTTCTCCCACGTGCATCACTTCATCAGCCTGAATGGTAAGATCTGATTTGGTCGGTCTTCCTCCTTCGTAGTTGGTCAATGGATCTAATTAATCCATGGGATTTACTTTCTCCATATATTTTGGTTAATGTGTAGGATATCTGCTTTCATATTCCTCTTGAGCTACATTCAGATCTTGTCAATTTACATCGTATATTGACCTTCTTAAATTGATATGGCATGTCATTATGATATATCAAAATCTTGAATTTGTAGCAGACGTTCATTGCTCCAAAGATCTTGAATTTGCGGTGGATGCTCATCTTTTTGAACGCGATAATGCTAATTTGCAACTTCTTTCGGTATCTCCTTTTTTATAAGATGAAATCTAGTGATAACGAAGGGACTGTCTTCCTTTTAAGGTTTCCCTCTGGACCTTCTAAATTAATATCGTTAGAATCGGTAACCAAATTAGTAAATTAGGATGAGATGTACTCTCGCGTAAGATTGGAGATGTAATGAGCGTTTAAATGTGGTTTATTTGTGGTTTGGTTTTAGATCAAACTAAGTTTTATCGGGATATTTTGCAAGAATTCAATGTCGTTTCTCACAAGTGGTGCCATCGTTCCGAGCTAGAACAAGAATTACTGTTGATCATTGATGTAGGAACTAGAAAGCGATGGTGTTGATCTCGAGAACGATGGCGCGGTGTAGACCTGCAAGAACGCTCAAGTTAGTTACAAAGTCCAAGATGAGTATAATGAAAGATAGAGATAAAAATATTGTACATTGAATATGATGTGTATTGACTATATATGTTGGATAATTTCACTTGGGGGTTGTGTATGGTTGGACTCATCTTGGATACTAAGGGTATGTTTGGTTCAAATAAGGGGGGAGAGGGGGGATTTTAATGATGGGGGGAGGGGATGGGAGGTGAGGGAATTTTTTAATATATATATATATATATATATATATATATGTTTGATTCAAAAGAGGGGAGGGGAAGGGAGAAATTTTAATTAAAAATATGTTTGGTTCATAAGGGGAGGAGATAGATTTTATTAATAATTTACATTTTAATCCTTATGATCTTGTGTAAGTCATATGATATTCAAAAAGTGAAAAATTCATAATTCTTTTTTTTTTATCAATAACATGTCAAATAAAATTATTTAAATCTTGTCGTGTGAATATTTTAAAACAATATAACTAAAATTGATAATAAAATATTTGGATATCAATAATTTTTAAACAAATTTAGGGGATGAAAAATGAAAATTATTATACTTAAAAGATCAAAAGCGATATGAACTCTATTATTTAATGTTATTGAATCAAATTTAAATTAAAAATAAGTATCTCATAAAGCTTTGAAAAAATGATTATAAACATATTTACTGATCTGACCTGATCAGAAGGGGATCATTAGCTGGCCACACTCTGTTGGACTGCTGCCTGTTCACCTGTGATGAGGAGGAGGAGGGGGTGTACCTACAAGGCACTCCGATGCCAAAGTAAGTATATGGGTAGAGTGATCACAAGTACAGAAAAAAGGGTAAGAAGTGAAGTACCTGACCCTCTTGTGAAAGAGGGTATTTATAGAGAGACCTCAGCGCTGGGCCAACGGTCACTTGCGTTGGGCTGGACTGCCAGGCCCATCCCAGGTGACTGCTAGGGATTACGTGGCGTAATGAAGACCAGGGCATGGTCTTTGTAACACCCCAAGTTTAATCGAAATATTTTAATTAATTTATTTAATTGAGAATATTCGTATTTTTGGTGTTTTAGGTGTTTTCGGTGGTTTTGGGAATTATTGAGAAGATGTGCATGTTGGACTATTTATTTAATTAATAGTATACTATATGAGAATATTAGTATTATTATTATTAAAATGAATATAAGAGAAACAAGGGTAAATTGGGCATTATAAAGAGTTAGTAAGGGTGTTATGAGAAAAAGCCCAATTTGTGAGGCCCAAGACTAAGTTAGACAAAATTGAGTTCTAAAAGGAAATTAGATTTCATTTTGTGTTTAACGTGAAAGTTGGTGGCCAGAGCTATGAAGGAAAGACTGGAAGCAGAAGATCCCAAAGATTAATCGTGAAGGCTACGAATCGGCTAAGGTATGGGGAGTATCGCATTTCATGATTTTCTATGTATGTCTTTCGGTGTGTTTATGGTGGGGTTTATGATTTAAGATATGTTGGGTGATTTGGGAGAATTAGGGAAATTGATGAATAGACTTTGAGGTTATGATCGATGGTATGTATCCTTGAATATTGACATGAA